TTGTGTAATATTTGCTCTCATTTGAATCGATCATGGCAATGAAATCTTTGTGTGGGCCATGAAAGCTTTTGTGGTCATTTGTGTGGGCCACAAAGTTGCACAAGATTAGGAACACCTTGTATAACAAAACAAAAGTACTAACTCACTGAAACCTTCACAGGGTGAGCTCACGTGTGCTTGTCACATTTACGATGTTTCTTGGACATTTGCAGCAAATTAATGGAGGGCAACACTCAAAGGCTAGAATAGGGAGTTACTTTGTACGTAACTTATAGCCATCTTCATCAGACCTGTTTAGATCGGTTCTGTCATTACCCCTCATCTCCCCGTCTCTCTTAGTCTCATTGTGCTAACCAGCTAAGTGGTGCAAGGAGCCAGCTCAAGGGAGTTTTTTCTGCTTTCTTAACAATTTAGGCTGCATTTTGTGAGAGTGCTTTGGTACAAACCATCCCTGGAGCAGTAATTATAAATGAGACACTTGAATCATGTCTTAAAGTAAAGGCTGCAGAGAACTTGCTAGCACTGTTATCTGAAGTACTCCCTTCAGTATTTAAATGTGCATAGACAGCCTTACTGAAACATTACGGCTTACTGGCATAAGCAACGTGAAAAATTTAAATCTTACATTTAAGAACATTATATTAAACTGTATGTCAGTATCTGCTATGGTGCCAGTGCCTACTGGCAGTTGTGACTGCCATTTTTCAAATGGTTTGCGCTCCAGCAGAGTGAAGGTCTCAGAGGGAACACTAGCTACATCCTCCAAATTCTCAGAAACAAAGGGTATGTTTCTTGGTCACATTTAAAAGATCCTACGAAATGGAACATCCTTCACTGAATTAACAGTCAAGAAATGCACCCTTGGATTTAAGACATCTTAAGTTTATTAGAAGAAAGCCTATAAAATGTTAACGTTTTTTTCAGTCACACTGCCAGTACCTGTGCTTTACAATTCACCCCTGCAGGGATTAGTTCTAACACACCTGGGTCTAATATACAGATGCCACTGAAAACCTTGATGAGCTACAGCAGGTGTGCTAAGGCACTTCCACACTCACCTTGTCTGGTGCAGACCAATCAGACTTTTCCTTTAGTTTGGTCTGTTTTATGTGGGAACATTCCACTCATACTTGTGTTCACACCAACCAACTGAACTGTGGTTTGTGATCAGTCTGTTTCCATGCAAACTGGTTCAGTTCGCTGCTGATAGAAATGCATTTTTACCACCAAACAAGATAATTCATTGCAGCTACACTATGCATCAGCACTGTATAATCTTTTCAGTGTTTTGACTCTTGTCAGAGCTCATTTTGTAGCACAAGCTGCTGTAAATAATGGCAAATGAGCTATGGCAAAATATTTGATTTTGTTACATAGAATGCAGAAAGTACTAGAGTAGCAGTAGAAGCAGAGATTTTATTACTCTGATTGTGATACATACACTGTAAAATTTCAGTGTAAAATTACAGTACTTTACAAGCAGCAGTTTACTGTTTATTTACAGTATTCATACTGTATTTTACAATTCTAGTACTTTACCGAATTTCTATTGGCAGTTGATAGTTTTTTTTTTTTTCATTGCCCCTGTATTTATAATGTACAACTGTTTGAGGATCCTCATTATGTACTTCATTATGTAGTACATGCAAAAATATATGCAAACAGAGCAACTGTATCTAGCAAGCTTTCATGCATGGATAAAAAAATGATCATGATACAACATGATAAAAAAAATGATCATGATACAACAGTGCAGTAAAGTTTATCTATAGTAGTTACATACATTTATATCACTCAGTAGGACTACAAAAATAGCTGAAACTTAAAATCCATTAATTATAACGTTACACTATCATTGTTAAAAACATGTAAAATACATTCCAATTTGTATATTTATGGAACGAATAAGAAAGTAATACGCTGTAGAACAAAATATAAAAGCAAATTAACAAAAAGTAACAGCAAGGAAAGCAGCAATGAATGCTGGGAAGCACCACCCCTATCACAACAGGCTGCTCAAGACTGCACAAAGTTCTGGTCATTTTCCCGAAATGCTTTTCATATAACAGCAAGTTACTGTTAAATCTGACATCTAACCTTCTTTGAGAAGAAGCCGGACCTGTTTCTCTCAGAATGCACCATTCATTACAGCAATCTGTTATATTGAAGGAATACAGTAGAAGAGAATAGCTTCCATTGTAAATTTTGTAAATTAGTTCATAAATTAGTTCTGTGCAGTGTGTAAACATTAAGCATGTTTATGTGCATGCAACACAGGGGTATGATAATTTTATTAAGAGTGAATGAAAGGGGTATTTCACTGGATGCACTTCAGGCACTGCAGTCTAAAACAAACCGAACCAAATGGAAAAGATACAAATTTGTAAAACAACTCTGGTGTAGAATTTATCAAACATACTAGGAGTGAAAAAAACTTAGACTATTAACTCTACTGGGCAGCCATGTGATAGTAGTATCAAGCTGAATGACTAAACACAGGAGACAGGCTGAACACCCATTAAGTTTCTGGTTCTATGTGTTGAGCAGAAAAACAAAGCAGCTTTTCATTTTATTTTTAACCAAAGAAAATTAGAAGAATGTGAGAATTCATTCTTTCTGGGATCGACTCCCAGCCTCAAGTCAAGCTATAAACAGCTCCGTTATAAATAGGTTTATTTCGACCTGTCAGTTTACCAGTGCTACAACACATTTCCACCGTGCCCTTTAGCAACATTCATGTCTTATGTATTGAACATATGTGTGCTGAGTAAAACAATGATGTAGCCAATGGCTGGGCTAACATAACATGCTGTGCCAGCCTCCACAGACCCCAAGCTCTTCTGGTTGCTTAAGTGATGTCCTGCACAGCTTCACTGACACTCCTCTTTCACAGGCCCTGTGAGTGATCTTTTAAGTGTGTCCATAGTGCCACCTACTGTTGAAAAGGGCAACGATTCTCAGCCTGCATTTTGGCTCAGTCTTTTTGTGAGAAAATCTTTGGAAAGGGAAAAATTATGCCAAAAGTCACATGACTCAGAGACCAACCTGTGTGTAATGTATTTGTTTGAATTTTTTGGGGGATTCGTAGAACTGGATGCATTTGTGAGTAATTATAAAATGTATTTGTTTATTAAGTGTGATCTATGTGAAGACAGTTTGTACGTGTTTGTAAGTCATGCTTTGCATTAGCAAAAAACTTACTATTGTATTCATAGTTGCTCTAGTATTTGCAAAGGACACTTTGGACGTGTGTGTGTGTGTGTGTGTGTGTGTGTGTGTGTGTGTGTGTGTTTTTTAATGTTATCGGCAATGCAGTCTTCCACAGTGTACAATTCTGTTTTTGATTTAGGAAATGGGTCAAATTTCACTTCCCTAATCCCTTGACATTTTGAGTATCAGGTTCAAAAATACTCCACACAACACAGCAACATGTTGTTGAGTTCTGATTGCATATCAGAAGTGCCCGGGCCTAGTTATGGTTGCAGAGCTTAGGGGCGGGGTTTACTGAAAGGTCCACTATGATTGGTCTGCTACAGTTTGAAAGTGCATTTGAATATTTTAGAATTGTTATTTTTTTAAAAAAATATGTTGTACAAGGGTCCAAAAAGGACTTTTGCGATTGTCTCACTCTTTTCTGAATAAACTTGATCATATTTGAACACAATACTATTCGAATTAGTGTATTCGTAAAGTGTCTGGTTTACCTTTCACTTTTTCACTCACGTCTTTAAAAGAAGAGTGTCCTGATCCAGTTCCCATCCTTTAAGTGAATTAGTTACACATAGCATGGCCAGTGCTAAAGTAATTCCTAGAACTCTGAATGAACAACAACAGTGATTGATCAACACCAGAGTTCTGAGTTAGTCATTGTGTGATCAGCTCATGCCCAGCAATATATTTACTTGAGTGTAAAAAGAAAATAATGGAATGTCCTGATTCTTCATTTTATCTGTTAAAACATTTAGGAGAGTTAAGAGTAACGGTGGTCATCTAGAGTACACCTGCATATATCCTTCCTGGGTGCATGGCCAGCTATTGACTCTTTAAAACCATCCAGTGAAATCTTCCACACTGCACTCTTACACTGACATGCTATTACACACAGATGTTTTTTAAACTCATGACAATCATGATGTCATTTATTTACGACAGTGTTTCCCAATCCTGGGCCTGAAGTACCCCCTGCCCTTCATATTTCAGCGCTTTCCCTGATTCCAACCCAGAGAAAAGATTAATGAAAAAGGAGATCTCCTTTAAATGTTTGTAGTTTAGACAACCATGAGATCAGATGGAAAGAATAACAAGTCTCACATGTGCGTCCTCAGTCACACAGATTTACCAAGGTAATAAGACTCCTGTTTATCTGCTACTAATCTCTTATTTCTCCTTTATATCTCTAGTATGTCTGCTTTTTCACTGATGCTATTTTATCCTAAGGAATTTTAGGAGAATCACTTTTAAGTCTTCTGAGTATATAAGCAATAAAATGTTGCACTCTGGACTATAGATTGGTATTTTAATAAAAAAAAAAGTTAACAGGCTGCCTTAAAAAGACTAAGATAAATCTACCTAAAACACAGATTTTGTTTTCTTTGCTTATAGTAGAAGTTCAGTTAACTTTAATGCAGCAAATTGGTTTTACAGTGTGGGAACACACCTGATCAGCAACAAGCCCTACCTGAGTTACAATGAGTTTGTTAGAGAAGGAAAACTCTAAAATATTCAGGGCTCATTTTAATAGTGCTGACTCATTCTCTCACACACAGAGCCTGTACTTGTACTGTGATAGTGTACTAAGGAATGATGTATTTTACATTTAATTGGACTCATTTGGCTGATCATTTTATCTATATATTGCATTTGTTCTACGAAATGTTTTATTGTACAGTTTTCTCCTTGTATCTAAAAATATTGTTTTATTGTTGCGTGTAGTTATGTTTATTCAGTACCTGTTCAAAATCCATGTGCGTCAAAATAAAGTCCCGATCATGGTGAGGAAGTTTAAATAAGTCAGAACATAATATTTATTCAAATGCACACACAAATACATTAGTATGTTTTACAATCATTCATATTTCAGCAGTCTATGCATTTACATTCAGAGGTTGGAGCTAAGCTCTGCAGAAAAGTAGATCTCCAGGTGGAGGGTTGGTGACCACTGCATTACAATTAAACAGACTGCTGTTGTTCCTTTGAGACTCATATGTAAATGACCTCTAGAAAATAAATATGAAATATAAAATGTGGCCTGTACAAACATAATAGCACATCTTATATTTTACATTCTATTTTTTTCCAAATAAATAGAAATTGTGACTAAAATTAACAGAAAATGTCTATATTAAAGTTTGTTCTCTGTATAGGATGTTTTTTGCATACATAGAGCATAAATTAGTACTTAGGCATACATTAGGCTTCTTTCGTAAAGACGTTTAATATATCCTTTAGAAAATGTTCTCATTCTTTAGCATGAAGAGGAAAAGGATTTATGGTTCTTAGGCATTTACTGATGTGCTGTAAGTGATGCTCCCACTTGACCATGAGCATTTGTATGTGATAGTTAAGGGTCCTTTCAGGCATCCTGTAGTTCTTTATTGGGACGGTTCCATTGTAAAATCACTGCCACTTTTGCTGAATCCCTCACGTTGCACATGGAGTTTGTGGAAGTCGATGTGCCGAAACTCAGCTGTGAAAACTCCGAACAGAACGAAGAAGCACATGACAGCAGCCCACTCACAAATGGCCCCTGCTGAACGGTAGCCTACGTTATGTAGGACAGTCACTGAGACACTGAGGTTAAGGTTGAAGGAAGGATGTGTGTTTATGTATGTATCAGCATGGGGTGACTCATTTAACACAGAGTTGCTAATCGAGTGCCTTCCATTCTGGGTATAGTGGCAGTGTGAAGACTGATGCATAGAAAACGACTAGATTTGTTCATGATTTGTTAATTATATAATTATGAATCAGTCTAATCATGCACAGATTATGCTTTAGCCTGTATCAGAAAGCATTTTGAATTTAATTGCTCACTGTTATGAGAAAAAAGCCATATTTAAATTGGATACAACTTCAATAATAGCAAGAGTAAGTCAGTCCTCTCTAAGAAACTCAATTCTTCTCCAATCAACAAAATATAGATAAACCAGTTCAGTTGATTCAGCTCTTATGTTTAACTGTTGTGTAAAGGATACTGGCAAGAATCAGGCAGGTACAAAGACTGCAGAAGACAATCCTTGACGGTCCTGCCCACTTCCTGTGACATGATGGCTCAGCATGGTAGGTGAGCCATGCCTGAATCCAGAAATAAGCCAAACCCACATAAAACGCCAGGAAAGCCCCAAGCAAGTGAACTTTCATATCCACTGATTGCTGAGGATGAGAGAAACAAAAAATCAGTCACACTCATTCATGAATGACTGACAAGTACACTGACTAATATGACAAGACCAAAAAATATGGGAGGCCAAAAGTAAGGAAGCAGGCCGGGATTTTTTCAAAGTATTAAAATGGAGCCAAGTTCACAGTAACTAACACAACTTTTTTTCTCATGATATGAGATGAACTTTATTGTTCCAAATACGATGCCTGCAACATGTTCCAAAGAAGTTAGAACAGGAGCATGTTTATGAGTTTAACTACACTAAATTATTGTTTGGGGACTAAAGACACCAAATGATCCAGTTTTGAAAGAATTCTTTTGTCATTCTTTTTTTTTTTTTACACCAGTCTTCAACTGTGCAACTGCAGAGAGCCTTTGTTGTAATTTGCGGCTCAAATTTTCATTGGTAGAAAGTTCTGGACTGCAGGCAGGTCAGTTTAGCAGCTGCAATCACTGAATATGAAGGCTGTTGTAACGTGCAGAAGTTTTCCTGCCATTTTCATGATGAAATAAGTATAGATGTCTCTGAAAAAGATTCTAGAATTCAGCATTTGTTCCTCCAAAATGTGCATTTATCTTTCAGTGTACATGATGTCTTCAAAGATGTATGAGTTATCCTCTATAGGCACTAATACACTCTCATACCATGACAGATGCTGGCTTTCAAACTTTATGCTGGTAACAATCTGGATGATTCTTTTCTTCTTTGGCCCAGACGACATGATATAATTACTATAAACAATCTGAAAGTGTGACTTTTCAGGCCACAATACACATTTCCACTCTGGATCAGTCCATTTCAGATGAGCTTGAGCTCAGACACACACAGATTCTGCTGTGCACAGTACAGCCTCAGCTGACCACAGCATTTACAAAGTTCCTAGTCTTTAAATTGCACCTGTCTCTACTTTTTTTGGAACATATTGCAGGCTTCAAAAACTTCAGAATGGGTGTATATTTATATATATTTATATAAAATAATGCTGACAAGGTAAAACATCAAATATCTTGTCTTTGTACTGTTATCATTTAAATAAAGGTCAAAGAGGATTCACAAATCACTGCTTTCTGTTTTTATTTGCATATTTTTCACATGCTGTTTTTTTAGAACTGAGGTTTGTACAAAGTCAATGTTGCTTCCAAACTTCAGGCCTGTAGCATACATAGCCGACACATACAGAGACGCACCTGGAAGTTTCCCAGCACTGAGATGCCTATTGAGGAGATAAATCCAAGAACAATACTGCATGTGTTCACACGGGACGCACAGCCCAGATCCCTCACCTGCTGGAACCTTATAATCACAATCCACAGAGCTAGAACGAGAAAGACAGTGAGCGAAAGAGAGAGAGAGTGAGGAAGTAAGAGAGAGAGAATGAGGAACTACTATGTATTTATTACTATTTATTCACTGGTAGGCCTCTCAGAAATGAACTGTTTTATAATACTGTATGTGGTCGCATGCTGAGGCAGAATTACGTGCAATGTGGCAAAAATAGAACAATATATGTTGTGTTTTATTGAGGTTTGTGAAGAAATTGGAATAAAGAAACTGCACCAGCAGAATAGCAGTGCAGTGGTCTAAATCTGTTTTTATAATAAATGAATAACATTTTTAATTTTATTCATTTTAATTACTACTACTACTACTACTTCTACTACTAGGAATAATAATAATAATAATAATAATAATAATAATAATAATAATAATATTAGAGCACTTTCCTACTGAATGACACTGATATTGTTATATTGGGCACCCATAGAAAGCTCTGAGAAAAACTTACCCAGTACTGAACAGATGTTGCAAATCTGGGAGAACAGACAGCTCTGAGGGTTATACGAGCCACAAGTGCTAAGGAAAACAATGACGGTCATTTTATGGATCATTCTCTGAGTGAGGCATTTGGAAGAAAAATAACAATTTCTAGATTCTTAAAATGAAATCTTACAATATTGTTCAGGATTATCTGTTAACACTTTGAATAAAAACAAAATTTTGCATTCAAAATATTTGACATTTATTGATAAAATAAAAATGTAAGTAGCATTAATGTCACTGATGTTACTAAAAGGTCACCGCAAAATGCTGCATTTAAGTACTTTTATGGGGTACTGCTATGATCCTTGTGTCTCATTCTATCACCAAAATGACATCATTGTAATGAGAGAAATAAAAAAAAAAGATTACGCCTGTGCAAAAAAATGGGCCAAGCCCAAAACCTTAAGCTTGTAATGGTCTTTACCACTAATCATTAGTGAGTAAATTAGCAAGCATTAAGACAATAGATAAAGCAACTGGTATAAGAGAGCTCTTCCATTTGATTTCTTTAAATGTTGAAGTCTTGTGGGTAAACTTGCAGTCTTTTACAGAATGAAGAGTCAGTATTGTTTCACTCAGCACTGATGGTTTCAAAAATATTACCAAGCTAGTTTGTGTTGAATGTGAGTCCAAATATTCTCATATAGTTTAAATATTGACAATGACCAGGTCAAAACCATTAGTTAAAAAAAAAAAATAAATAAATAAAAATAATTACAGAAAAAAGGCATTATGGGCTTGGTCCCTGTTTTTGCACAGCAGTGTTGAAATTATTTTGAATAAATATCACTTAGTGGAGTTTTACAAAGTGTAACACCTGAGACTGAAGTTATTGCTAAAGACTGAAGTGCACAAAATAGATGCATTTGTGAATAACTGGAAGAAGCTATCAACTTCCATTCAAAGCCTAGAAATACAACTTTATCACTGACCTTGTGACCCCAAACATAATTAAACTGAATATGAGCAAATACTTAAAAATGTATTATAAATGTTCCAGTAACACCAGTGACAACAATTTTGGGACAACATTATTTAATTTTTTTTTTTATGTTTATAAAAACTGATTATGTATTTTAAAAAAAGATCAGTATTCATAATAATATGGTTTTGACATATGGTTTTAGAAGAAAAAAAAAAAACATTGTTCTGTATAAAAAGTTTACTAAATTTACTTACACATGTTGCAGCACAGCCTATTTTTTATAATCAGACTAGACATAAACAAATGGAGCACATCATTCATGTGAACCATGCATTTGTGTATTACTGTTTGAATTTTTTGATGAGTAATAAAGTATTATTGTGCATACCTGATGTACGGGAACCCAGCAGTCAGATTAACTGTTTCATTAGATACAGCTATACCAAACCTGCCATGGAAACACAGTCAGTGAGTGGCAGAGGACGGCCAAATACTGGACAGAAAAAGGAGAAGAACAGAAAACTGCAGCTTACACAGCCCACATGCCCACAGTGCCAAACACTGCCAGGATAACCGGAAGCAGCGCCCATGCCCACATGATGGACCAATCAAATCTCCTGTCAACACATCACATAACACACTAATCCAGTGGTCACAAGCCTTCCTCCTGGAGATCTACTATCATGAAGAGTTATGTTGTAACAGGTTTGCACCCCTCTAACCTAACACTAATGCATCTAACCCAACCAATTAAGATCCTCTGAAGAAGCTTGTTAGCTGGAGCAGGTGTGGCAGTGGTGGTTGGAACTAGACTCTGCAGGAAGGTAGAGGGTTGATGACCTCTGCGCTAATGCATAACAGCAGTCTCTTAGCTCACATCATAGTTATCCTACTGTTTATACTTTATCATGAATATGCCAAATGCTGATGACTGTCATATAGAGACTACATCATTTAAAGCAGTTATACATCATCTGTTATTGTCAGTTATGAATCATCAGTCAGAAAAGGAAGCACATATACACCATGTTCCAAATTATTATGCACGTGCCAGTGTGCCATTATTATGTCACAGTGCGGATACTGGCAGTTGCTTAATTGATATTTTGAAAAGAACACAAAATACGTTGCTCCAAATTATTATGCAGAATGCAGTTTTTGAAAACATTTAATAATATTTATTTAATTTCAAACAGAAATCTGTCATATTTGCTGCATGGACAGATAATTTTTCAAAAAATAAAAGTAAAATTAAAAGTCCATGTGTAGTTTATGCCTGTATTTCATTTGAGGATGCCAGTATTCCCTCCTAGAGCTGCTGTTTTGAGCTATACTGACACCCACCCTCATAGATCTTCCTTTAAAGGATGCTCCACAGGTTTCTAATAGGATTGAGATCAGGGGATGATGGTGGCCAGACCATGATTTTTCCTACTTTTATGCCCATGGCAGCCAAAGAGTCAATGGTGTTTTCAAAATGTTTTCATAAATTGTCACTAAACACAAGCATCAGTACAGTAAATACAAGTACACTATTACTACCACTGTATAGAAATCTGAGTTAGGAAGTTTCCCAAAAAAACAAACCACTCTGAATTTCCCAAAAATGTTTAAAAAAAAACAACAAAAAAAAACGTGCAATTTAAGCCATTTAATAGAACAATAATTTAATGTTTTTAATTTTGAATTTTAAGGCAGCCTGGTTACTTAAAAATACAAAAACATTTTTTCACACTGTTCAGCAATCTAGAATCATATTAAATAATATGAAGAGTAATAATATTAAGCATATGCATAATCATATTTTAGCAAATGGCATTTACTCTATGGCTGTTGAAGATATTTTCAACCAAATTCTCACTTATTACACATTTACATTCAAACCCAGCATATTTTTGATAAACTACAGAGAGAAAGGGACTCCCAGAGACTGGTAGACCAACAAGTTGCCTAGTGTTATAGATCTTGGGCTTACAGACACTTCTTAGAGCCTTCTTGGCACAGAGATGTAAGTAGAACTCTTTGTTTCAAGAAAGACAGATAGAGAAAGGTCCAAGAACACATTTAGAAGTCAAAAGCAAACGTATAGCAATTAAAATAAAGCTGGAGCAGAAAAAAGCACAGCAAATCAAGACAGAGGAAAGACAACAAACTCGCTTAAAACTCACGTGTTCTTGGGTCGTGTGTATTCGTCTGTGTGTCCACTTGGGTTTAAAATCCCACTTCCCCACTCTGAGCTGAGAATGCAGGGCCTGTATTATACCACTGTAGTGTTATCAGGGAGGACTGCACTTTGCCCTGCCTTGCAGCTTTATTACACAAGAGATATGAATAATAACTGCAAGATCATCATATTACTGCAGTGAACAAATACAGACTGTTTGCATGTGCCTGAAGTCTAAAAGATGATGATGACTACTGTGGTGATGATGAATACACTGATTCAAACTAGAGACAATGTCATGATTTGGGGTGTGTCTCTAGCGATAGAGAGCAGCTTCAGTGGACACTGAAACAGGTCCATGTGCGTAAATTAAAGAAGTGGTGAAATGCTTTAGCCAAAGGGAGCAGAGAGGGTGTTTTGACGAACCACTTTATATGAAATGAAGATGTAACGTTACATAGACAAGACGATGATTCTGAAATGTCTGATTTCACTGATTAAGACAGCAATGAGAAGACTGAATGTGACCATGCCCATGCTTAGGTCTACAGAAATTTAATAGGAGCGTTATTAATGTAGAAGTGTCCATAGAGAAGATTCAGGGTTATTCTGTGTTATTGCAGTAATTATTTGCCTTGCTGCTACTGTGGACCTTGCACCACCATCATTAATTTACAACTTTATTGCACGAGTTTCCTTTGGAGTAGCCTATGTGGACAAATGTCCAATTGTACAGACACACACCCTCTTAATCAAAGCAGCAGATTCTTTTACACTCAGTTATATATAGGGAATTATGTACATACATTTAATTTAATTGTAATTAGTATATATTAGGACAGGATTCAAAATTTAAATAGACAAAAGCCAATTGAAGTAACCAAGCACAGCACAGTAAGTCAGAATGCAGCACTGTATTAGCCAATCAGATTGCAGTTACCTCAAATGGTCAGAAAACATGGTTAATATGGTCGCAAATTTAGTTGTAATTGCAGTTAGGAAACATTAAGACAAGATTCAGAAGTCACATTCTGAATTCAACTGAAGTAACCAAGCAAAGCAAAGGATTCAAATGAACTAGACAATCATAGTGTAGCATTTTAGTAGCCAATCAAATTACAGGATTTAAGCAGACAATCAGAACATAGCACTAAAATAGCCATTCAGATTACAGGAATGAACTAGCCAAATCAGGTTACAGGATTCGGCTTGCCTGTCAATGCACAGGATTCCAGTAGCTAACCAAATTGCAGGATTCAACTAGCCAATGAGGGTGCAGGACCCCAGTAGCTAATTAAATAGCAGGACTCCAGAGCACAGTAAAGGACTAGTCAAGCAGACAACAGGATTCCACTAACCAACTGGTTGGCTACTGGAGTCCTGCTCTAATTTTGACTCAGACAGCCAGACTGCAGAACTAGCCAACCAGAGTTCAGGGATCCGGTAGCAGGACAAAACACAGCATTGAACTAGCCAATCACAGTGTAGTAGTCAAGAAACCAATCAGATAGAAGAATTCCAGTAGTCAATCAGACTTTAGGATTCAATTAGTCAAGCTGTTTGCAGGATTGTTACAGCCTTCATTCACATAGCCAATAAGACACATGTAATGTAATATACTGTAAAAGATAAAGAAACACTACAATACTCCAGTAGTACATTTCTAAAGGTACCATCTGGTATTGTAATTAATTTAAACTCGTCACTGCTGAAACCAAAGGAAATCATTAACAGAAAAAAACAGGAGTCTTGGGGATTTCAACCTACTTATCTTCTCAATCCCAATTTATCTTAACACAAAACCTTAACATTCTCTTGTTGGAAACTATTTGTTGACATGCTACCATGTAAGAGAGGTGGGGTTCTTAGCACTGATTAACTAAGCTACCACTGAGTACTGATCTCAACATTCTCCACATATTCAGAGTTGACTTGTACACACCCCTATATACACACACTTATTTCTGTTCTTGGTTTATGAGAATAGAACACTGACATGACATAAGAGATGCTCAACAAAACTACAAGGTTTATTGTATACACATTATTTTGTATAAACATGACAACAACCCTCATTACAATTCAGATACTGACATTCAGTATTGATGTTACAAAAAAATTTGGTTGCCTTAAAGCTCCAGCTCAATCTTAACATCCATTTTGCTCTTATAAGGCTCGAGGACAGGCTTGACTTCTTCTGCAAGAAACCTGGCCACCTGGCAGACAGACAGACAGGCAGACAGACAAAGAGAGAGTGTGAGTGTTGTGATGTTTGTTCAAATGTTCAAAAAGTTTGCAATCACTTGTGCTATTAATAACTGCTACTGTGGTTAGGGAAACAACGGTCAGCTTTAGAACTTGCAGTCCATCGTATTAGCAGTGTCGCCCCCCCACCCTCTTTGATATCTGCTTCTTTTCAACTGGTTTATCAATCTGACTGTACCCAATCAGGTCACTATTGCTTGGCAAAAATACATTTGCCGATCTGTAAGCCAAAATCAAATGCATATCATATCATTGCAATTAATTTGTTGCTTGTCTGCTGTTATTAGCAGCAGCTTGTGCTGCAAGAATGATACGAACATCTGAAGAGTTCAAACAGGCAGATTATGCAGACAGTACAGTGCTGACGAGCTACTAGCAGAAGAGAAAAGCGCAATCTGATGGTAAAGTCCCTTGTATGGCAAAGACAAATAAACTGGTACAAGGTTCACTTGAAAGCGGATCGAGACCCATGAGGTTCAGTTCTGGTGGAGACCCCAGTATGGGTGGAGTGTTCACACAAACAGTTAAAATGAACTGAATAAAGGTAAGAATAAAGGTAATAAGGTAATAATTTTTTCACTTGTTTTTCTGACAAAGTGCTGTTACCGGCCCACTATGAACCACTGCCTCCCCCCTGAGTACAGGCCTGCAGATCACTAGAGTGTGCTGGTTTGGATAACAGTGTTTTTAATGCTTCCAGAACCCTATGATATTCTGTCACTGCTTGCAATAAGCAGACGGACTGGTTAAATTCAAATTGCACCAGTATTAAACCAATTAATCATAGAGAGGCAGAGGGCAAGTAATGTTTATTTTTTATTGTACTGGCTGTGACACAGGTAGGCCCAGTAGGCTTAAGCGTTAAATGTCTTTACTTTCAGAATGAGTAGGATAAACTCATAACAAGAACTTAGGTATGGGGTGGTTATTGACCCACAGTAGAAAAAAAAAATAAGATGGAGTCCTTGAAAGAGAGAGTGGCAGAAAGAACCACTTTGTGCGCGGGTACCTGTTGTGGGGCTCGGCCTATGAAAGTTTTGGGGTCCAGAAGAGTATCTAGCTGGTTGAGTATAGGGGTGAAGTAGGGGTCAGCCTGCACTCGAGCCAGAAGATCATTATCCCCTCCCTCCTGCTTAACCACCGCTGCTGCCTGCTGGGACAACACCCGGATCTTCTCATGGCAGTCCTATTGTGGAGAGAGAGTGGCAGACAAGTGTTCAAAGAGCCCTGTTGACGCTCCAATATGACAATGAAATTTTATGCTTGCAGTTTTCAGCCTATTGGTAACGTTATGTAATATTATGTAGGGCAGCATTATATTCCTCAGCCTCAGTGGTTTGACAGAAATCACAATTTTATATTGTTTCCATGTTTTCCTTCAACAATGTTCTCTCACTACAATACCCAGCATGTAAATGTCATATAACCACTTGGAATCCCTCCGAGCTGATACAGAAAGCATGACAGCTAGCATAACCACAGATGTTGAAGCTAATAAATATGGATGTGACATGCAACTTTCTAGCAGTACTACTAGCTATCTGGCTTCCTTCTGCATCAGCCGCAAAAATCAGCAAAAAATCAGCTTGCCCTCAAAAAATCGGTATCTGCCCCAAAGTGCATGTAGTTTTTCAAAACATTTCTTCTACCTTCAAGATATAACATTAGAAAAGGGGTTTTCCTAGTTTTTAAACCAGAAAAAACTGAATCACTCTACAGACTACAGTGGCACCTCTGTAGGAAGTGAGAAGGCATGTTTACAACAGATATTTCAACTGTTACATTTTTCATTTTAACCAGTCTCCCTTTAAAAAGGCTTAACATGTCTAATTTCAGACTTTAGGTTTAAAACATTACTTACATCACTTCCTTGCAACATGCAGAAAGCAACAGTGACCTCTCCTCTGGAGAAAAACTGTGACAGAAATTCTTATTTTTGCCTTGTTTGTATGGTGTCAGCAGCACAACCAACTGATGAAAGTCAGAGGGAGTAAAAAAGGAAGATGTGGCTTTCTTCTTCGGCTTCTAATAAAGGTTAAAACAGGCACAACGACTGTGTGTCTGTTACATAAAAAAAACAACGCCCATTCCAAACTCCTGTATGCCCTTGTTTTAAGTTAATAAGACCAGCAGTGAGAGAATTAAATCATTTTCATTTATAACCAAACACTCTGATGAGAGGCATTAATCGAAAGGATGGAAACCAAACCAAAATAACTGAAAATCTGAAAATGGTGAGTTTTAGAAGATAGAGAAAGTGTAGACTTTTAACGTTTTAAAAAATGTCATGTGAAACCTTTTTTCATTTCAGTGCAGACACATATTTTTAGTGATAGCATTTCTAAAAATGTCTGTCTACAAAATTGCAAAAATCTGTTTTCTCAGCTAACTGGATGAGTGTGAATTGGGCTTAAAGACTACGCTGAGAGTCATGCACCACTTATACTGACCATAGTAACCAATCAGCAATTTGCAAAAATCAATGTCATTGAACTAACAAACACATTAATAAAAAAATTATTTAAAAGTCATTACTCCACCTCAGGCACCAGCATTTAAATGGCATAACTGATTAGTGAGAGAGTCGAGAGAGGGCTGTGTTTCCCTCCAACAGAGTGTCATTTGTGCCTGAGGCCATCAGGTTAATCAATGATTATTCATGGTGAGCTATGTGCTTACCAAGTATTTTATTTATTAATGTTATTTATGAAGATTTCTGTTGATGTCCATGTTATGTTTGTGTCATATGTTTATATGCCCAGTTATGAATTGCCCCTGAGGGACAAATAAAGTTTATTCATTTCAATTAAATTCCTACCTGTCGGTTTCCTCCTGCCTTCACCATGGCCATGATGATGTTCTCTGTTGCCATAAAGGGCAGTTCATAACGAATATGCCTCTCAATCACCTGCAGAAGGCATCAAGGACAACAAACATCAACTGAAAAAGAGGAGGCGCAGATAAGGAAACAAGCACAGACCAAACTTGATAGTAATAAGGAACAATCTTCCCTCACTGGAGCAACAAACAACAGGACTCAAGTCGGACTTGAGTCACGAATTTAATAAAAAAAATCACTTTGACTTGAACACCAATGACACGGACTCTTGGAAAGACTCGAGACTCAAAGTGGAAGAAACATGTAGAGTCTGACTGCAGATGGGAGGGTAAACAGTCAATTATTTTTCATGTGAATGAATTTGTTGCCTGTGGTAAATTGAAAAAACAGCAACATCGTCAAATGTCTGTTACTGTGCTTATGCTCAGTCTATTTCGGAAGACAAGTGAAGCATTAGAGCTGAAGTTCGCCTCCATAAGCTGGCAACAAGCAAAGCGTCAACAGCATCAATATGCCCAGCTCAGCACTTAAATTCCAGTCTTACTGCAGAAACTTACCATTTTCCTCATGAAGATTAGGACTACTGACCTGGGACTCGACTTGAGACTCACCTGTACTGACTCAGGACTTGAATCAAGACTCAACTATCTCGACTCGGGACCTGAGTATAAAGACTTATTTGTTAGTTGCAACTTAGTGACTTGTTCCCACTTCCAACACGCATACAGCCCTACCTTAGGGTAGACCACTAGACCCTCAGTAATGTTCTGCAGAGTACTGAGGATGATGTCAGCTGTGAGGAAGGACTCAGGCAGAGAGATTCTCCTACACACAAACACACATTCATGAAAGCAATCATGCATATGAATTTAAATGAATCCAAGTTCCTAAATGCACAGTAAAAAGTTTGGACACAACCCCTATTCTAGAAAACACCCCATTTCCTCCTTCCTTTATTGATCTTGCCTTTCAGTTTTAGGCTTCAAGATGTGGAATTATGTATGAGACCTTTTTAAAAATGGCAGTTTCATTTCACTTGAATAGCGAAAGTCATAGTTTGACATTCCTGTTCAGTTTCTTTAGTAATCTCCAAGTACACAGATTTGTATTCACCATCCTTGGTATTCCCTGAGAGCAACTGGATAGATGAAGGATAAGCAAAAATCTTCTGGAGCATAGTGCCCATTTTGTACAAAACTACTCAAACACCTGCCTCCCTTATCCAGGCTCACATTAGGTGTGAGTGGGAGGATGAACTGGGATGGGAAGTCCCTGAAACGTCTTGGCAAGCAGCAGTGAGACTGGTACATTCATCATCAGCAGGCACCAGACATTAAAGTGCTCCACAGGCTACATTTATCCATCAGTAAGGAAACACGATTACATCTGCATTTAGATACAACTTTTTTTAGTTGTAAATGTGATTTAGGCAACCACAGCGTGTTGGATCTGCCTGAAATTGACTGGCTTTCGTTACTTTGATTTAACACAGCTGTGGCTAATGAGGAGAGGAGCAAAGACTCTTTAACTGGCTCACTTCCTGGCGTGAAAGAGAGGAGGCCGCTGACCTGCACGCCACACACCAGGAGAGAGAGCCAAGGATTAAAGAGAGAGCTAAAGACTAAAGAGAGAAAAAGGACTGGATAAAGTAAGGCTGAGCAAGCCATGTTTAAGTTTTGGTATCTGTTCACTTGGTTATGTGTAAATAAAGCACTCTGGTTCACTCGCACTGGTGTTTGTGTGTGTGTCTTTCAGCCCTTGTTAGGCTTCCCCAGTCAGTGTGCGTTGGCCCCTCCCCCGGCCAAGCCACAATATACAGGGTGTCCCAAAAAAATTGACATCATTTTGTAGTCTAATAATATAGCCAATTCTCCCTCAAATGATCTCAAATTTGAACAAAATGTGTAAAAACTAACCAAGTTTAATTTTTAATGTTTTTTTTTCAGGTTGAAGAACGACGTTCACTTGAAATGAAGGCATTTTGTGTGTTAGAATATGCATGAACACAGTCAAACAAGAGCGTGCATCGTGCATTTTCGAGAAAATTCAATAAAAATGCACCAACTGGAAAGGAGATTTGGACATGGCACAAAAAATTCAAAGAGGATGGCTGTCTGTGCCGGGCAAAGGGATCTGGACGACCACCAGTATCAGAAGATGTTACATTTGTGAAGCTTTGTGAAGTTGGTTATAAAATCTACATCCCTCTGAATTTCTTGTTCGAATTTTGATAAATAAATCTTGTATTGTTCAACATGAAGCCTATTTAATTTCATTTGCCTAGGACATGTAGTTACTCAGATATTCACAACTCAAATGTCAATTTTTTTGGGACACCCTGTATATGTTTGGACTACTCATGAATGCATTTTTAAAAATTATTTTCCAAATTTTAGAATCGTAATCGTGATAGTTAACGTTAAAATATGAATGTTAAAAATACACAGAATGAGGAGTGTACATGCCACTGTAAAAGTGTGTGTACACCTGTTTGCACTGTCGTCAAGAGTTCTTTCCAGCCACTGCACTGAAGCAGTCTGTAGAGGATCAGACACCAGTGCCATCAGGTGGCGAGCCAGACTGCAGCAGCGCTCAGCACGCATTGGGTTCCTCTTATAGGGCATAGCGCTGGAACCTGGACACATATTACAGCTTAAAATGGTCACAAAACATCGTTAAATTTTAGAAACAAGTTTTTTTTTTTGTTGTTTGTTTGAAACTAAACAATCACGCTGGGTATTTTACTATGTCTCTCAAATTAAGAGATCATACTAGTCCATGCACTGATGGATTTTGGCAGCTTCCCTGACAACATAAATGTGCTGCAACACACAACAGTAAATCAGAAACACATCAAGCATGTTCTACATTTTTCCGTGTCTCTGCAGTAAAGAAAAAAAATGAGGTGCAGCACAAAGCAGGGCTGTAAAGGGAAGAAGGTTGTAAGCAACTTTAAGATAGATGCAGCTGTGCAGCTGTAACAGTCTGCCACTACAGATGGTTCTCTGTTTATCCAGCGTAGCATGCAAGGGATGTGAGGTATTGTCCAAGATGGCTAACAGCTTGTTGAGAGTCCTTCGCTCTGCCACAACCTCCAAAGAGTCCAGCTTGACTCCAACAACAGAGCCAGCCTTCCTAACAAGTTTGTCTAATTTGTTGAGGGCACAACGTCCATTTTATAATATTACAGGTGAGCCAGAGAATACTGACATCACAGCAAGTCTAAAACCTACCGGTGTGGTCCAAAAATCTGAGACCACATTGAAAGTTATGACAAGAAGGAGAAATCTTCAAGATTCTGCAATATTTCTAGGTCACTATTCAAATTTAAGCAAACTGCACAGTGATTATGTTAACTCTCTTAAAAAAACAATACACAGTAATTTTTGCAGTCTTATCCCATCCATTGAAGCACATGTTCAGAAAACTTTCATGTACTAAATATATCAAGAAGACGTACCCTTGACAGTTGCTGCATCCTGAAAGGTACAGCTATTTTCTGACAGTGTTTCAGGGTGAGAAAAACACTGGCAGCCTTAAACAGCACTGTAAACTTTAGGCCAGCAAAGCATGACCTACCAGCATATTTGAAGAAAGAAAGAGAGGGAGACAGAGGACCAGGGATGCTGACTGATTTTGATATTCGGGTATCCGCAAGTCTTAATAAACAGTAAAATGGTCACCAAAAAAAAGGTTTCTCGGTCAAAATTCGTCTAGGTGGCCGCACAAAGATTTTGCAGCAAACAGAGGAATAAATGTGAAAAAACCAGTATTCAAAATTAGTAATCAAAAAGGTTGAGGGAAATCAGTAGGTTTTTTTGGATGAGCCAGAGAGCGGAGGGCTCTTTAGATGTGAGCCACGATTACAACTAAATGGTCAAATTTATGGGTACAACGCTGGATGCTGATGAGGATTCATTAACTTATACTTAAGTCTTTTCTGATCAGTGGACGATGCGCCAACATGTTAGTTTGTCAGAGAAAGATATTTCCATTGTTTCTGGATCTAACCAACATCAAACAGAGTAGTTACCCTAGCTATTAATAAAGCCTCACTACATCTGGCATCTCAATCATGTCCTTAACAACACATTCTTGGCTCAAGTTTGGGCACTAGCATAAAACGCACCATCTTGTTAAAACATAAAAGCTGTTCACTGCATAATTTTCCCTGTCTTCCAGTCCTGAAACAGAACGAGCAACCAAATAGTGCTTTCAGTATTCGAATACTGGCACCTCAAATAGTTAACAGAGTACTCGAATACCCATGCACTGATTGTTAACCAATTTACTCGCACAAAAATCAGGACAGATACATTCACTCTCAGGAGCACACATGACATTACTTGCCTATTTGCTCTTTCTCAAATGGTTCTTCAATCTCTTTCAGGTTAGCCAGCAGACGAATATCAGTACAGATCTACAACAAAAGACAGCAAGGTTACAAGTCTACAACAAGATTAACAGACAGAGCAGCCTGCATAAACACTGCAGAGGCATGTAGGCCACCCGATATTTATACTATGCCAAGTTGGCCACATGTTTCACAGTTTTGTCAGTTAGGCATTCATTGGCTGTCTACATTGCGGTTTGTATGCATTTAGATGCATGGGTTATCAGTCCAATCAACACACCATAACAATAGTGAGCCTTTTGCCAGAAGACTTTTTTTGCTGGATTGAAAATATTCACTGCATTCTGTCTTTAAAAGTTTCGCAAAATTTGTTTGGAACAGGTTGTAGCAGGTAAAGAGGATCTCTCCCTTGTGTACTGACAAGCATACCATTTCTTGTCACATGGTGTGATTTTACTATTGCATTGTTTTGATTGCCTTGCAAAAACAATGGGGTGTGCTTGGCCTCTCTGACAACAGCCAGAGATTTAGTACGAGACCAGTGAGAGTACTGCATTAATACAGACTGCTATGACAACACAGTTCCACTAGAGGGCAGTACCTTTAGAAGTACCTAAAAGTAGGAATGTGACTAACAATTATTTCTGTAATTGATTAATCCATTGACTTTTATTGTATCAATCAAATTGAACCATTCCTTCATTCCAACTATGCCTTCTATGGTTGCCTCTTTGGTCGTGTCTTTGTGCAGTATCATTTAAACATCTGTCTGTGCAACAAACAAATTCTTCTTTTTAGGGTGCAATGAAATAACAGCATCTTGTAGTGCTGCTGTTATATGCAATCTGTGTGCCTGTGTTGTAAAAATAATACAAATACAAAGCACAAACTTTTTTTTTATGACTAACGTTATCAACAACCAATCATTGCAGACTGACCTACAACACATTAATATTACATTGTGTACAACCAGTTGTGTGTTGCAACGCAACTATTTCACAGATAGTTGACTTTATTTTTCATTTTTTCTCATAAGTCAATTATTCCATATGAAATATAAATATCTAGGACCTTTTTGAGGATTCAACAGACCCATTTGTTTTATCTTTACATAGTAAAAGAAAGGTCACTGCTTTGTTGTATTAAAATTATAAAGTGTATTTTGAATGATGTTAATGTGTGTGTAAGACTAACCTTGTGTACAGTGGCTCCTAAGCTGGCCAGCACAGACAGAGAGTCAATGTCCACTTTACGGCTATATGTTTGTCCTGTGACCAAGTAAGACCTGAGAGAGAACAATGAAGACATGACACACATTGGATGAGCTTCAAAGAAAAAAAAGTACTGAAAGATTTACATGCCTACCAGTAAGTCACTTGAACAAGAAATGTTAGACTTCAGCTGGATGTCTAGATGGACTCACACACACACACACACACATACACACACACACACACACACACACACACACGTCCTCACACTTACTTTTTAAAACCAGCCATCTCAGTGACCATCCTGTCCAGCTGCTCCACCTGTGAGACAAAGAATCCAATTTAGTAACAGTATGACAGGCATAAACGCTAAGCATCGTATTTTGTATTCACCTTATCATGGTCGCCCTGGAAGAGCTGCAGGAAGCTGGCCTGGGTGCCTGTGGTGCCTTTGACCCCTCGGAAACGCAGATCATCTCTAGCTCTCTGCAGGTTCCTCATATCCATCAGCAAATCCTGAAGCCACAAACAGGCACGCTTCCCTACCGTAGTCAACTGAGCCGGCCTGAGAGAGAGAGAGATTTGACTTTCAAACACCTTTAATGTAAAATCAAACTCATAAAACAAAAGGTAATCAGCCAACATAAACAATCAACACAATAACAGAATCCTCACTGCTTCACAGAGTCACCAACCCCACCCCTGCTCATCAGGTTCACAGATATAGCCCCAAACTCCATTAAGCAAAAAATTAATCCACATCATCAATAAGGCAATAATAAGCATACTCCTAGCATAAAGCCACTTCAAAACCAGACCCCTTACCATCAAAGCAGGGTGAGTACCCCCACATCCATTAATTGTGTTCTTCCTGGTACACCACATTGCTAACTTCGATGCTCCATACAACAAATTTAAAAGAACTATTTTATCTTTCTTAGAAACGGAGTACTTTGGTCTGTAAACGAACATACTCTGATCAAAAATGCCTAAAATCCTCTTCCCCTTTCTTCAACCAAATGTAATATCTTGCACAGACATGGACACTGAATGAAAACATGAAACAGCGTCTCAATATTTCCACAAAATGCACACCCTTCCCCAACTTAAGGATCAGGCTATGCCATGTTTTTTTTGCTAAAATCCCATGTACAACCCTCCACTGGAGGTCCCCTATGTTTTTCTCAATGGGCCTTTTGTACAGGGACTGCCAGCTACCTTTCAGGGATGAGCCTGCTCAAAACCTCAGTCCATTTTGTTTCCCACACATCCTTCAAATAGCTGAAATTGAAAAGTTTTATACAGGCAAGATACAGTGACCACTGAAACTCCCTTGAGTTGGGGTCTCCAGTGAAAGGAGCTTACCCTGACTCTCCTGCCAGTCTTCCCTTTCCACAGTGACCGCCAGCTCTGAAAAGTCTTCCACTCCACTCTGGCAGTTTCCAACAAATGTTACACTCAAATACTCCAAAACAGCAGCAGACAAAATCAGCCCTCAACCGGTCCAGCACTTGTAATACTAAGCGCATGGACCTAGATCTCGCCGAGCCTGCCAACTGATCTGCTGTTAACCAAGCCACACCACACCACAGTGCCGTATCTTGCTGATCCCAGTTACACCAGGCTTGTCCTTAGCACACTGGGAACGGTAGGATTAATAAAACGATGGCTCTTCAAAAATCCATTTCGATGTAGTGGAGCAGCTCGCCCTTGAGAAGGAGAAAAGCTGCCATGCCTGCATAGCCGCCATGTAAAAAGGAGTTACGCGACGCAAGTCGACAGTAGGGGTGTAACGATTATTTGACTTAGTTGGCAACTAATTTAATAGTTGATGAGTTGGTGACATCATTACACATCTTCCTCGTGCTCATTAAGAATATTTTGACATTACCGCTTAACTGAGAGTTGACAAAAGTGCAATGGCAGCCTCAAGAACAAAATCCTCAAAAGTGTGGGAGCATTTCATGCTAAATTCAGAAAAAAAGGTTGTAGTTGTGCTGTTTGTAAAGCCGGAGCATATCTGAAGAGGAAACACGTTGCGTAGAGGTGCTGACTTTCCTTTGTTTCAATAAAGACCTGTGATTGTAAAATTCAGATGCAACAGAACGCAGACACAAAACACAATTTAAATTTAACATTTAAATTTAGAGTGATTTTTAATTACTTGATTAAAGGAAAACATTTAGTTTTGCTATATTTTATTGCTGCTACTTTACACATCCTTGGTTTTAAATTTTGATTAAGATATTGGAGTTTTATTTATCTTTTTATTAGCAGGAAAGTTCATTAAATAAAGGTATTCATCTTTATTGTCTTCATTGTTAGCAAATGCATATGTAACTAACACTCACTGGTATGAAGAAATCCACTTTGGTCATGTTTGCTAGGTTTGAAACAAGGAGGATGGAAAGAATGAGACACGACAAAGGCTTGGAAGAAAATTACAAAAATTAATATATTGTTAGCTCAGTCATATACAAAACAAGGAAACCAATAGTTACACACAGAAAAAAATGAAATAAAAGAAAATGCCCCCCCAAAGTTGTGTAAGAATTCCGGTGCGACCGCTGATCCGTTGATTAGACCACAGACCACAGAGATAAGACATAATTATGAGTAGTATATGCTCAGTTAGAGGGTGTCACAACAACTGGAAGAAGAGGCGTATTTCGCTTGAACAGCAGTGTTGCGAACACAACAAAAAACGGTCAGTGTTGTGGGGCACCATATAACTTACATCCACCTCCTACCCGCGTCTGTGGTTGAAGGGGTTAAATTTAAAACATACACCCAAACGTCTGCTCTTACCATTTTGTGGAGGGGAAACCAACACCAGAACATCCTTTCCCAGAGAAATGCCTCGGTTATGAAGCTCCAGTGAAGCGGACACGTCGAGTACTTGTGAGATTGTCAGGTAAGACATTAACCTAAGAGCAAACGTTAGCTAATTAACTATGCTAGCTAATGTCAAATAGCTTGTTGCGTTAGCACAGCTACATAATGATCAGTGTCCACTGCGGTAACCAAGCTACTTCAGACTTTATTCACGTTATTCACTTTAGATTTTCAAAGAGTGAAAATTAATAAATAGACATTAAAGTTCAGTTATGTGTATAGTTCTACAGATGCAGACATACATTGTAATATTGGATTAGAATAGATTAAACTTTGTCATTGTGCAGAGTACAAGTACAGAGCCAATGAAATGCAGTTAGCAACTAAGCAGAAGTGCAAAAACAGTATTATTTACATACAAAGTGCAGGAGGTAACTATGGTAAGTGAAGCTGTAGTCACAATATGTACAGTTGAGCATGGTAGAGAGGCAAAGAAAGATGTGCAAGTATAAATATAATATACATATATACAAAGAAAATGAAAATGTTGGTTGTATGTGCTCTGAGAGCAGCATATGTGAAGGATAAGTATGCAGAGTAAAATAAGTACAGTAACTGTCTGTGCAAATACCAATAGTGCAGTAATAGGCAATAAATATCAATTGTCCATAAGTCCAACATTTATTTACGTGTATTATTTTCACACTTGCCAAAACAGTAAAACTTACTTGTGGGCATTATTTTTCACAGATAAATCAACCAGCAATGTAGAGGGGGACACTGATGCTAATGATCAGATGCCTGTGACACACTGTGATGCAGCAACACAATGGGAAGATCCAACTGTGTCAGACCACAGCTATGCTGCCTGTGCACCACCTCACCTGCCCCTTCTGTGTGAGCAGGCAACACAGTTTACTGAACCAGCACAAATGCATGCTGATCTACTAAGAAGTGACTACCTGTGTGTACTTTACACAGGATTGCCTTTAGATGCATTTAATTGCTTTGGATGCATTTAATTGCTTCCAGCTACACCCCAAAGATCAGCTCTTAATGACCCTAATGAAGCTTTGGCTAAATTTATTGCAGGATGACATTGCTGAGAGGTTTCGTGTATCACAACCTATAGTCAGTAAGGTCACTTCATGTTGGTTGGACCTCATGGAGGAAAAGATAAGGAGTTACATCCCATGGCTGCCCAGGGAGACAATCCAAGCAACAATGCCTCAGTGCTTTAGAGAACATTACCCAAACACTACATGTGTAATAGACTGTTCAGAGACACCGCTTCAGAAGTCACACAGCCTTGACTCAAGAGGCGAGTCTTACAGTGACTACTACGACCAAAATACCATCAAGTACTGTGGCAATTGCACCCTGTGGGCTAATAATGTTCACTTCACCGGCGTACGGAGGAAGATGCAGTGATGAGTTCATTGCAGCAAATTCTGGGTTTCTGGAATACCTACGTCCAGGTGATGAGCTCATGGCTGACAGAGGGTTTGTCATCCAAGATCTCTATGAAAGGAAAGTTAAGCTCATCCTGACAGCGTTTACCAAGAGAGACATGCAACTTTCAGAAGAAGACACCACCAACACTAGGCGCATTGCCAACATACGTGTCCATGTTGAACGAGTCATACGTAGATTGAAAAACTTCAGAATAATTTCTCAAACAGTCCCAATTAGGGGTGGGGGAAAAAATTGACTCTTAGATGCATCGCGATGCAGACGTGGACGATTCTGAATCGATTCACAAATGTCAAAAATTGATTTTCTAAATATTTAATTTATAACGGTATGTTGACGGAACGCAAAGGGCAGAACTTGGAAGTGCGGAAGTGCAGCGCCTGGACAGTCTGTGGCGGCACATAACAAAAACACAAGTGGATGAGCGAGAAATCTGACCGTCTGCATTAAAAGCCTGGTTAGGTCAGGAGTCACAACCCAAATGATAAGAGACATTTTGTACTTTCAACAAAAATCAAACCACCTTGGGAGCTGCAACATTTTACGTCCAGTATGTGATAATGTCCCAGTATAGACTAAAAAATAAAAATGACGACACAGATTTACTTTGCTCTGCTTTAAGCTTTAGCTATAGCCGCTTTCCTGAGCTACATTTCCGACAGGAAACTCTTCCTCAAAAGTTGAATAGTTTCTTGTAACAGCTCTCAGCTTTCGGCTGTTTTACGAGGCTGAAGTCGCTTCTCATTCGCCAGCTTCTTGCTGAACTTCCCCGTTCCACCTTAACTTCTGACTGAGGCGCCGAATGTAAATGCAGCACCATTTAAGGTGGAACGGGAAAATTAGAAAGAGAAGCTGACTTCATCTTCGCAACTTTTTAGTGTTTGACAGTCTGTCGTTGCAGATTTAACGTATCAGGAAACCAACTGCGCTGCTTATAAATACGAATAAGTCCGTCTCCAAACGTTCGTCTGTCTTTCTCTTTTCCTTTTTCGTTTGCTTCTAGCCAGGTGGAACCTCGTTGCTAGGTGACCTGCAGTCTGCACATCAGTCGTTGAGAACCTGGGCTTTCACGCTATGTTGCACACGTCCCGTCTCAAAGATTTTTTACTAACACAGCAACCTGATCACAAGGTGTAAAGTTCACAAGCCTTAAAAAAATACATCATTTAGACCTGTTCACAGATAAAGTATTCTTTGGTTTATTTGATATAACAATAACAAATGATTGCTAAATAATTGTTAATTGTAACTGCCATA